ACAGCTCTTTCGTACACACACACACAGCTCTTTCGTACACACACACAGCTCTTTCGTACACACACAGCTCTTTCGTACACACACAGCTCTTTCGTACACACACAGCTCTTTCGTACACACACAGCTCTTTCGTACACACACAGCTCTTTCGTACACACACAGCTCTTTCGTACACACACAGCTCTTTCGTACACACACACACACACACACACACACACACACACACACACACACACACACACACACACACACACACACACGGCAGTCTGTTAAGTACTGGGACAGTGGATTATAGCTCGCAATGTTTCAAAGTTACCAATAATAGTAATAATTGTCAACCTTATGAATGAAGCGTTCAACTACTTGGTGCAGCCCTAGCAGAACACTAGACATTGTGGCCCTGTCATACATATCACCCAAGGATATATAACTCAATCATCTTCCTGTATCACATCCCTCTGAGACAACACGTGTAAACACTTGTTGTCAGACTCGTCTCCAGTTAAACACAAGTTTGTTGAAATGGGAAAGACAGGAAATGAGCGTTTTGTTGCTCAGGCTGTGTTACACGTTACACGTCCTGATACAACATGTGGTGATACATAGAGAAACTGTCAATCTAATTTGAGGAAAGCTGTCATAGTATAAAGACACCAACATATGCATAGAATCAGGATAATAAAAGTTGACTTTATTTGATGCAATGGGAGCAGTGAGGTCTGTGTTTGCATTGATCTCAGTCACTGCAGCATCACAGCACTACTCCCAGTGCATCTGAGCCGCTCTCTGCATGTAAACTGAATTAAAAATAAACACAGTGTTGTTGTTTTTAAGAAGCTTGTCATCTTGATTGTGAACGCAGAATCAGTTTACAGAGATTAACAGAGATTACTGGAACGCTGGATATCAGCACTGCAGTGGATGCTGTGTTCAAATGAACAAGCGTCATCATAACTGCATAATGCTCCAGTGGTCCATCACTAAGAAGACGTACCTCTGGCTGATCCTGCTGCCCGGTTTGGCCCTTGTGAACGTCTCCCGTTTCCAAATCCTCAAAGTCGCCATACAGCTCCTCTAGACACAGTAGAACAACAGCAGCAGGGATGTTAACATGCCGCCACATTGTTGTGGTTCCCCATGAGCGGACCCAGCTACACCCCCCCCCCTCACATGTCTGGTATCGAAGGTTCCACACGGAACACAATACTTCAGTAACTAGAATCGTTTAGCATTTTCTTCCTCCATCAGTCTAAAATCGAGATGTTTGGTGGAGTGGATTGGTCCTCCTCGCTCACCGTCCTCCTTCAGCAGCGTGGCAGCATCTTGGCTCTCATCCCACTTCCCTGTAACAAAGCAGTCCCTGATGGAGTTCAGCATCTGGAACACCAAAACAACAGCAACCTCTTTTAGTATTTGCTTTCATAACAACAGCACAATAGGAAGTCAATACTCTCAACTGTCCCAGTAACACTAGTGCATAATGAGGACGCATTTCGACCAAGAGGTCCCAGGTCGCTTTAGTCCCAGGAATACTTTAAGGAACTAAAAGCTCTTCCATAGCGATCTGAAGACGAGGCAAATGAGGAAAGTTCCTGCAGTCGAAAATGAGCTTCATTAGTAACCACTGTACCTCCTCCAAGTCCCAGTTGTTGGAGGTGTCAGGATTGAAATGGGAGCTGTCGACCGCATTTGATTGGAACTTTTTGCTCTTCTGAGGGCGGCTGACATGGAACAGCCCCCCCAGCTCCTGCTCCTCATCCTCAGAGTCATCTGCCTCTACAACTGGAAACAAAAGAAGATGTTGAGACACCGAAAATCATATATACATATACACATGTATATGTATACACACACAGACATGATAAAGTAAGCTATCATATGGTTTAGAAATGTATATTCACAGCGTGTCTGACATTCGCTACAAAATGCCAAAGTATAACTTTTTGCACAGCTTCCATTTGTCATTTAAAAATACAAAGTTAGTGTTTGTAGCACGTGTTTGCCTGCATTGGTCATGACTGAAAACAGCTGGAGACAAACAGATGCTGTGTAAAGACCTGTACTGTGGACCATGCTGAACATGTACACTTACAGTGTAGAAGTGGATTATACTACGATATGTAGTGAGAGAGAGATAGATAGATATAGATCTCGATCTAGATCGATCTCGATCTATCTATCTAGATCGATCGATCTATATATATATATATCTAGATCGATCTCTCTATCTAGATCGATCGATCTATATATATATATATATCTAGATCGATCTCTCTAGATCGATCTCTCTAGATCGATCTCTCTAGATCGATCTCTCTAGATCGATCTCTCTAGATCGATCTCTCTAGATCGATCTCTCTAGATCGATCTCTCTAGATCGATCTAGATCGATCTCTCTAGATCGATCTCTCTAGATCGATCTAGATCGATCTCTCTAGATCGATCTAGATCGATCTCTCTAGATCG